TAATAACACTGACAATTTCTGGCAAGATTTATCAGATTAAAAAAAAACGAAGGCAAAAACAAATAATATTGGGAATGAAAAAAGGGACATAACTACAGATACTGCTGAGACTTAAAGGATAGAGAAAATAATGAACAACTGTGTGCCAATAAATTTTAAAACTGCAGAAAATGTACATATTCCAACTGTACATGTAACTTAGAAAAGTGACTCAGGAAGAAATAGGACACCTGAATGTCCTATGACTAAGGAAGACACGGATCTCTAGGCCTAGAGGGCATCACTGGCAAGCATTCAAGGAACAGATCACTCCATCAGTTACAAAATCTCTTTCAGAGGTTAAAACAACGAGGAAATACTTCCCAGCCCATGTTATGAGATTTTACATCCTTGATAATAAAACAAGACAAGGACAGTACAATGAAGCAATATTTTTACAGGCCAATCCCACTAGAGAATTTAAATATAAAAGTCTAATCACAATATTAGCAAACTGAGTCCAACAATGTTTAAAATTGTAATATGATCAAGTTGAGTTTTGCAATGGATTGAATGTTTGTGACCTTCTTTCTCGAATTCATTTGTTAAAACCCTTGTTCCAATGTGGTGGTATTAGGAGGTGGGGGCCTTTGGGAGGTAATCAGGGCACGAGGGTGGAGCCCTCATGAATGGGATTAGCGCCCTTATAGGAAGAGGCCAGAGCGCTTGGGTTTTCCTTTTCCGCAGTGTGAGGACACAGGCGGTCAGCCATCAGCGACCTGGAGGAGGGCCATCACCAGAACCCAACCATGCTGGCGCCTGATCTCAGACTTCCAGCCTCCAGAACCGTGAGAAATAAATTTCTGTTGTTGAAACCACCCAATTCATGGTATTTTGTTGTAGCAGCCTGAGCTAACTAAGGCAAGATTATTCTAGAAATGCAGGATTGGCTCAACATCTGGAAATCAATCAATGCCATTCACCATATTAACAAACTAAGAGAAAAGCCATAGGATCATCTTAATAGACACAGTAGAACTCTTAGTAAACTGAGAATATAAGCAAACATTCTTTACCCGTAAAAGGTATTCAATACTTAGAAGAAACATCAGACTCAATGGAGAAGCATTTCTTTTAAAATCAGGCATAAGAAAAAGAGGTCCACTGTTGTTTCTACTTAATATTATGTAACATCAATGTTGTGTATGCTAACTGCTCAATAATATAAGAAAAAATAAATATAAATATTAGAAAGGAAATGAAAAAAATTCCCAATAATACGATTGTGCAGATAGAAAACTCAAAATAATCTATACACAAATTATTAGAGTTAATAAGAGAGTCAAGTAAGATTGTCAGATATAAGATCCTAGACAAGAGTCAATTGCATTTCTATACAATAGCAATGTTACAGTTAGGAAATGCAATTTTAAAACTAACAAAGGTGTAACATCTATAGTAGAAAATTTTAACACTTTATTGAAAGATAATAAAGAATACCTAAACATATGGAGAGACAACCACGTCCATGAATAAGATGAAGATTCAATTCTCCCTAATTAAGCTACATACTTAAACTCAAATCCAACATGGATTTTCATGGAAATCAACAAGGCAATTTTAAACATTTTTGGGAAGAACAAAGAAGAGCCAAGTGACTCCTGAAAAGAAAACCAATGAGAGGGACTAAGCGTACCAGATTTCAAGTTTTATTATAAACCCATAGTAATTAGGATGTGTGATATTAGCTCAGAGAGAGATAAATTAGACCTATCTAACAGAATAGAGAGCCCAGAAAAAACATGGGATCGACTGTGGTGACGGTTTCACAGGTGTATACTTATCTCCAAATTCATCAAGTTGTGTCCATTAAAGATGTACAGCTTTTTGTATGTCCATCAGACATCAGCAGAGCAGTGTAAAAAAAGCGAGAGCACCCAGGAGCATCCCCATGGTTACGAGGAAAGCTGGTGTATGCCAGAGTTGTCATCTCAGAGTAGTGGGGAAAGGAGACACAAGTCAATAAATAGTCAATAAATAGGCTGGACGATTGTCAATCATTTGGTGGGAAAATAAAAATGGATCCACACTTCATACGAAAATTCAATTCCAGATGAATCAAAGACTTAAATATGAAAGACATAGCTTAAAAAAGATATAAAATTTCTTTAATAACTTTAGGTAGTGAATTATTTATTAAACAAAACACAAAAAAGCACAAATCATAATGAAAAGAAAATCAATCTGACAACATTAAAGTTAAGACCAGTTCATCAAGAGAGACTATAAGAAGAGTGGAAAGACAAGCCATAAACTGGAATAAAGTAATTGTACCATATAACCAACAAAAGATTACTATTTAAAGTCTCTAGAGTCTAGAGGCTGTGTAAAAAACTTCCATAATCACTAAGAAAATGATTCACAATCTAAGAGAAAAATGGGCAAAAGACAAATACAGGCATTTCACAGAAGAGAAACCATGAATGGCCAAAAAAATCTTTGAAAAGACGTTCAACCTTATTAGTCATTAGAGAAATGTACATTAAGATATTTATGTATTGTAAGATATTACTTCATGACTACCAGATGGGCAAAAATTAAAGTCTGAGCATACCAAGGGCCAGTAAGGATGAGAAGCAATGGGGACACGTACAGGCCATTAGTGGAAGTGTAAATGGGTACACTCACTTTGAGGAAAAATTACTGTACCTACCTGTCCTAAGACTCTGCAATTCCATGCCACACTTCAGGGACAGAGTCTTGCACATGCTCACTAAGAGTAACATCATTCTCATAAGAAAAATCGGGAAAAATCTAAATCTCTATGAAGGGAGAATGGATCCATAAACCGTGGTCTGTTCACACATTGTAATGCTGCAAAGCTGCACTGTCAGATGCTGTCATTAGCCACAAATGCCTGTTGAGTGCTTGAAATGCAGCTAGTCCCAACTGAAATGTGCTGTGTAAGATACACACTGGATTTAGATGATTTAGTACCAAAGAAGATAATGCAAAACATCTTAATAATGTTTTTTACTGATTGCATACTAAAATGAAAGTATTTTTGCTCTATTGGATTAAAGACATTAAAATCAATTTCACACGCTTTCCTTTTTACTTAATTGGCTTCTAAAAAATAAAAATTCCATCTGTCTCTACTTAGTGCTACACTGAACAGAAAAACTGCAAGCACAGGCAGCAAAACGCTGAGCTTTCAAAATAGCTTTGAACCACTAGAGCAAGAAAAGACAAACAGAGCACCCCAAACATACGCATTCAACATACGCGCGCACATGTGTACATACAGCCTAAACCAAGAGAAAAATAACCCACCTTCGTTCATGACATGTACAACCCCAGTCGTACGACAACATCGGTGCTGTACAGAAAAAGCAAGTACTAACACAAACAAATTCTTCTTTTTAACACAACATAAGTAGCCTTGCCGAAACAAGGCCTCAAAAAATTGGTTTAAGACTCAGAGTTGTTCCTCTCCACGGAAATCTTTAGTAAAAGGCGAAAGATTTATACGATCTGAAGAGAAACTAGAGTATAACTTGCAACTTTGTAGCTGATGGCGCGAGTAAAAAAACGTCCTATTACACTGATGGTGGCTAGTTAACACCAAGCTCCAGTGTCTGAATAAAATTTTTCAGACTACCTTAAAAATAAAAATTTAAATTTCAGCAAATATAAGTGGAAGAAATTTTAAAATTCTGCCTCTTTAAGCTGTGCGCAGTGCACTGTGGGTATGCAAATAAAGCGAGTCACCACCCTGCCGATTGGGGAAATATCTTAGTATTCACAGGGTGCCTCTGCGTCACCGTTAGGTGGCGAAGCGCAGGATTGGCTGTCTGGGAGCGAAACGCCGTCCCGATCGGGATGTTTTCTGTGTTTGTACATTTGAGTTTGATTTCTTTTAAATAAAGACTTTGCTATTAAACTGAAAACGAAAAAACTACCAAACAGGTGATTGCCGCAAGATTCAGGGCGGTGGTTCCTCCCTTCGGTGGGGAATGAGGGCTGTGTCTGGGGAAAGGCACACAGGGGTTTAAAAAGCTTGACAATTTCCTTTTTCTTCAGCTACGTAGTGGCCGCACCCGTGTTTTGTTTGTTTGCTGTGTTTTTGTTTGTTTTTTAACCGTGTACCTTCGGGATATACACTCTTGAACATTCTGCATTTTTGTCTGAGAAAAATTCCTGGCAATGTCTGTTTAAACTTGGGACTTGCGCGCTCCGTTTCAGGTTTCCCGCCCCACCTGACGCTGCTGTTGGGCATGCAATCTTGCATTCCAGTTTCAGCTCTCACGTCTCCTTATCCCATGCTTTTAAAATGTGCTGTTCTCTGACCAGCCCACACGGACTCCTCCCTAACAATCGTGGTAACCCAACAACCTTGGGAAAGGAAACTACACCTTTTTTTGTTTTTGTGTTTTCTAGCTGCTCGTGTAAACATTCCACTTCCAAACTTTGACAGCTTCTCTGAACTGGCACATTCATTTTTCATTTTGCTGGTTCTTTTGCTAACAAGTCAATCGTATTTGACATATACTTCGTTTAAATTTGTCTGATACATTTTAGAAACAGCTTTATTAGACATAATTCACTTGCCCTACAATTCAGCCATTTAAAGTGTACAATTCAATGGTTTTAGTATATTCACAGAGTTGTGTAATCATCACCACAATCTAATTTTAGAACATTTTCGTCACCCCAAAAAGGAACTGTACCCCTTAGCAGTTACTCCCCATCCCCCTATCCCCCAGCTTCTGCCAACCACTCCCCCAGTTTCTGTCCCTAAAGTGCCTATTCTGGACATTTCATATAAACGGAAGCATACAACCTTTTGTGGCTGGCTTCTTTTTTTTTTTTTTTTTAAAGATTTTATTTTTTCCTTTTTCTCCCCAAAGCCCCCCCGGTACATAGTTGTGTATTCTTCGTTGTGGGTTCTTCCAGTTGTAACATGTGGGACGCCGCCTCAGTGTGGTCAGATGAGCAGTGCCATGTCCGCGCCCAGGAGTCGAACTAACGAAACACTGGGCCGCCTGCAGGTGAGCGCGCGAACTTAACCACTCGGCCACGGGGCCAGCCCCTGTGGCTCGCTTCTTAGCATGCTTGTGAGATTCACCCACACATTCATTCGTTTCAGTACTCTGGCATTCTTGCTCTATTTCACTGTAATGGGAAGTTAGAGACCCGGGAAGATACAAAGTTCCGACCCTGTGGTCACAGCTACACCACTCCAACTTAGCCAGCAGCTGAGGGAAGGGCCAGGAAAGGAGCCGCTCCGAACACTTTGAGCTCTTTCCAGGTTGTAACTCGGGAGAGAGTGTTTCCCTGCTCCTAGGTGGTAGGAGGCATTCATCTTCTGGACTTTGCTCCACTCTGGAAGGGTCTTGGGCAGCTTTCACTGGTTAAAGAACCACGAGGAAGGTCAACTTTTGTTTTCAGCCTCCACAGATTCATGGAGTTTCCAAGACGTCTGAAGTGAAAGCATGGACTTGTCCCTGATTGTAAATGTGGGGTTGGAGAGGCCCATGCAGTTTCATTGATTATGGTCTAGCTGACACGTCCATTTCTGGCAATAATTCACACTGATATTTAATACAGGAAATAACCTAAAAAACAAAAAATACAAAACATAAAAACCTTTGTTGGGATTTTTGATTCACATGGCTTTGAATTTATAGATTAAATTAGGAAGAATTTCCCACCTTTATGACATTGAGTCTACCATTCTATGAGCTCCATTTATATTTTTCATTTCTTTACCTCCTTCTATAAAGCTACATAACTGACTCTGGAGTGGTCTTTTTAAACAATTATTTACATCTAATACCCTAGGAGTATTTTTTGCTATTATAAATGATAGATATTTGAAATAAAAATTTTAATTGATTGTTATAATCCAAACAATTTACTAGTTGCCTAAAAACGCTGTTTATTTTTGTGTTATCAGTCCTCTATCCAACAGCCTTGCTGAAATATAGCTTTAATTCTAAAGGATTATTTAAATTAGTACTGTCCAGTGGAAATACATGAGCCACACATGGAACTTTAAATTTCCTAGTAGCCACATTAATAAAATAAAAATAAACAGGTAAAATTAATTCTATTTTATTTAAGTAATATATTGTATTTAATCCCATATACCCAACATATTATATAAATATATAATCAATATAAAAATTTTAAATGAGATTTTTACCTTTTAATTTTTTATACATATCTTCAAATCCAGCATGTATTTTATACCACAGTGCATCTCAATTCAGACTGGCCACACTTCAAGTGCCCAATAGCCACATGTGGCCGGTGCCTACCATATGGGACAGCGCAGTTCTGGATCCTTTAGGATCTTCTATGAAGATAATCGTATTGACTGAGAATAATGATAATTCTGTTTTTCTTTTTCCAGCCCTTGTACCTTTTTTTTCTCTTTTCCTGTTTTACTGTGCTGGCAAGGACCTGCAGTACAAAACCCAGTGGAAGTGTTGATACTTACTGGTTGTTCTTGTCTTTTTCTCTCTAAAGAGAAAGTTACTTTCTGTTACATGTGGTGTGTGCTAGAGGTTTTTGGTTGGTATTCTTCATTAGATTAGGCAGATTCCCCTCTATTTCTAGTATAATAAGATAGGTAGATAAATATCGAGTGAGTATTTGAGTTCATCAAATGCCTTTTCTGCATTCACAGGATTATTATCAAATGGCTTTTCTCTAATCTCTTCCAGTGGAGATCTACATTAGGAGATTAATGCTGAATCATCCTTGCCTCTTCCTGGAGATTGTCTTCTGGTTTCTATTTGTTGTGGCCAGATCCCTGGGGCCACAGCTACAAAAGACAGGTCTGGGCACAGGAATACCTAATGCTTTCAAATTTTGAAGTGGAGAGACACTGTCCCTGTGGAGAAGGCGCATCGGACCTCCGGGTCTCAGCTCCTCCAGGTTTATCTTCTTCCTGGGACTCTGGGCTCGTTTCTGCTGCAGCCTCTACGCTGGCCACAGGGCGGTGCTGCTTCCCCTTAGTGCTCAGTTCCAGCTCGAGGCCCAACTGTTGAGGTCAGGGAGTCCAACGTTTTGCTCTCGTACCTCCTAAAAGAATTTTGAAAATTTATGTTCCTCTTCCACATTTTAAAGATCATATGTATGGTGTTCATAAGGTAGCTTACAACATCATATGTTTAAATAGATGCAATGGATGACTACTTTGTGTGTTGTAAATATTGATACTCCAAGCTGTTATATCACTTTAAAATGTAATCAGTGGAAGCTAAATACCCAAGAGATCTGATACCCACTCTCATCATTTTCTAAAAAGTTAAAAAATTTTGCATAATTCCTTTTTGTGTGTTTGTGAGTTACATTGGCCCTAAACTAACAACTGTTGCCAATCTTCCTCTATTTTATGTGGGAGGCTGCCACAATGTGGCTTGATGAGCTGTGCTAGGTCCGTGCCTGGGATCCAAACCTGTGAACCCCAGGCCACCAAAGTGGAGCACTGTGAACTTAATCACTATGCCGCCGGGCTGGCCCCTAATTCCTTTTTTTCTTGAACTTGTTTTTCCATTCCATTTCTTCAAGAATTTAAAACAAATATAATATTTTTATACCTGGATGTGTTTTGATTACTGAATTATATTTTTCTGATAAAATAAGTGTATTTGTTGAATTTCAAAACTTCTCCACATCCTTTGAATTTAAAATTCTATGCATTAATATTTTTCTTCTGGATTGACTTGTCATTACACTTATTACTAGTAGACACGATCAATACAACATGAATATATTACATATTTTGATAATTATTAAGCTAAAAGTGTCATTTTATTGGAACTGCATCTCTTAATTAGACGGATGCATCTTACTTTTTACTACAGGAGATAGGGTTTAGTTCCAATGCTTTTTTCTTTTTCACTTGTATAGCTGTAACCTAAGAAATCTTGTTCCCATGAATCAGTAGATGGAAGGAGTTTCAACAATGTCACTCACTACCACGTAATGAACTATCAGGTGACAACTGGATTAAGCCCTCCTTAAATTCTGTTGAAAGAAAAGATTTGGAAATTTTAATTTACAAAAATTTGTTGTCCAGACTCATTCACTTTCTCAAAATGGATGCACATATTTTAAATTGACATTTGTGGGGAGGCCTGAGGTTTTTACATCCTCCAGACTAGCACTTGGGTAAGGTTTAGGATGGAAGACAGCAAAACTTATTTTGTGAAGCGGGAGAAAGGCAATCAGCAAAAGGGAGGCAGGAAAGCAGTCCTCAGTAGATCTCCCAAAGTCCAGCTCACCCCGGCCACCTCCCCTCCATGCCCGGGCCCAGCCCAGCCTCCCTGTGGAACTGAGGTGGTTCCGTGATTCGTGCTTTGCTGTGGGGGATGTTGGGGACTTCTTGGCCAAGAGTAACAACGATGGAAATGATGTGTTCTGTGCTGTCCAAAATGGCAGCCACTACTCACATGTGACTTTTGAGCACTTGAAATATGATTAGTGCATCTGAGAAATGGAAATTTTATTTTTATTTATTTATTTATTTTTGAGGAAGATTAGCCCTGAGCTAACTACTGCCAATCTTCCTCTTTTTGCTGAGGAAGACTGGCCCTGAGCTAACATCTGTGCCCATTTTCCTCTACTTTATATGTGGGATGCCTACCACAGCATGGCTTTTTGCCAAGAGGTGCCATGTCTGCACCCAGGATCCGAACCGGTGAACCCCGGGCCACGGGGAAGCGGAACACGTGAACTTAACTGCTGCGCCACTGGGCCGGCCCATGAATTTTTCATTTAATTTAATTAATTAAGTGTAAATAGTGGCTGGTGGTTGCCATATTGGACAGTGCAGAGCTAAGGACTCAGCAATGTCTTGGACTTGGTTTTACACTTGACCAAGGGACTGGAGTGTTGGGTTTTCTCTCGCCGAGGAGAGGAGATGGGAGTCTAGTCCCTTCTTTTCTGCAGTTGGCTCAAAGCATTCCTCCTCCATAGCCTCCACCCTCACCACCTTCCCCTGCTCCATACTCCAGTACAGAGGGCCCCAAAAGGCAAATCTTGAGACATCTGAGAGCAAAATCCTAAAGCAAGGTGAAGAATTCTTGGGGCTGAAAGGCAGCATGGATGGTAGTCCCAGATCCACCCCTCCGACCTTGTGACTTGCACCTCCCCAAGCATCTATTTTCCCTGGGTTTACATGAATCCTTTTGTCCTGGCTGTCAGCCTTGGAGGAAAACAACGTAAAAAGGAGACAGGGGGCAGGAATTATTGTCCAAGGAGCTACAAGCAATCTGAGCCTACAGGTGGGACAAACACGGTCCAGGGTGCTCTGGGTCCATGAATGGTAAAGAGAACACATAGAGTGGCTTCCCAAGGGGTGGTTATGAGGATGATAAAGTAGTAAAGGTGAGATAAAGGAGGCTCGGGTGGGTAATTTTATGTGTCAACTTGACTGGGCTGAGGGATCCCCAGATAACTGGTAAAACACTATTTCTGGGTGTGTCTGTCGGAGTGCTTCTGGAAGAGATTAGCATTTGAATCAGTAGAGTGAGTAAAGATCACCCTCCCATTGCAGTGGGCATCATCCAGTCTACAGAGGGCCCGAAAAGAACCAAAGGGCAGAAGGGTGAATTTACTTTCTCTGCTTGAGCTGGAACATCCATCTCCTCCTCTCCTTGGACTTTGGCACTCCTGGGTCTTGGGCCTTGGGCCTTCGACCAGGACTTCCACTCTGGCTCCCGCGGTTCTCATGTCTTCGGGTTTGGACTGGAACTACACCACGGGCTTTCCTGGGCCTCCAACTTGCAGACAACAGATCATGGGGCCTCTCAGCCTCTATGACTGTGTAACCAATCCCTCATAATAAATCTCTTTCTGTTTATCTATATATACCCTATTGGTTCTGTTTCTCTGGAGAACCCTAATACAGTGGTCCTCCTGTTATATTCTCTGAGGAAGTAAGAAGAAAAGAGGAAAGAAAAGCAAGAAAATGACTACCAGGGAAAGTCAGGTTAGTGCCTGGCTCCAGGGGCTGGAGAAGGGGTTGCAGTGAGGAAGGAGCAAGGGAGAGCGTGCTGACAAGGTAGGGGGGTCAGTTACATGAGGTTGCCAGACAGTAAACAACTTAAGTTCTTGCCTTCCCCATTAAGAGTTTCCAGAGATAAGGCCATCCCCCCTTCCTCCTGGCGCAGAGAGGGAGGCATGGAGATTTCCTTCACAAATGCAATTGTCTCTGATCAAAGGGCAAGCAAATTCCACTCCTCGGAGCCTGCTTCTCATCTGCAGTTTTAAAATTAACCAGCCTAAAATCCTCATCATAAAGTATGGGGGGAAATAATGTGAAACATCTCAATAATTATTTATATTAATTACATCTAGAAATTATAACATTTTGGATCTATTGGATTAAATAAAGTATATTGTTAAAATCAAGTTCACCTGTTTCTCTTACTTATTTAAAGGGACTTCTATAAAATTCAAAATTCTACCCGTACCTCCCATTATATTTCTACTGGACAGGCCGGCTTGTGGCCGAGTAGTTAAGTTCAAGTGCTCAGCGGGCCCAGCCCAGGGTTTCACCGGCCTGGATACTGGGCATGGACATGGCACCCGCTCATCAAGCCATGCTGAGGCGGTGTCCCACACAGCACAACCAGAAGGACCTACAACTAGAATATACAACTATGTGCTAGGGGCTTTGGGGAGAAGGAAAAAAAAGATTGGCAACAAATGTTAGCTCAGGTGCCAATCTTAATATATATTATTCTGTATACAGAATACATTCTATACATTTCTAAAATTTATATATTTCTACTGGAGAGTGCTGCATCAAAAACCAGCCAAGTAAAACTACAAGGCACCAAAAACTTGTGTTGGACATAAGGTATCACTTTCAAAAAACTGAATGCCGATACAGCTGTGCAGAATTCGGGGTGAAAAGAGTCAGTTTGGTGTATTTGTACAGACACTGCTACTATGGGAGAACATCCTTTAAAAGTGAAGTTTTTCAGTGTGTAAGTGGACACAAATCAGTATCAGAACAAATGAGTAATGTAAACACAGAGCATGAGAGAAAACCAACACTAATCACAGTTAAGTAAACCACCTTTTCTTAAACCAAAATAAGTAGCCTTGTTAGAACAAGGCCTCAAAAAATTGGTTTGAAACTCAGAATTGTTCCTCTCCACGGAAATCTTTAGTAAAAGGCGAAAGATTTATGCGATCTGAAGAGAAACCAGAGTATGCTGCATGGGACCCCAAATTCATTTTTCAGGTAACTACAACTCCTAGTACATTGATGGTGGTTATTTATCACAAGCATTAATACCGACAGAAGTTTATTTAAATACTCTGAAAACAACATTCTCATACTTAGAAAAGTCGAGTAAAAAAGAATTTTTTTTACTTGAAAACAATTATACTGTTTGCAGTGTATTATGGTGTATTATGGGTATGCAAATGAGACCTGAATAATCGTCCTTTGGACTCCGGAAATAGCATTCAAATCCTGGTCTGCAGCCACCTGTGAGGGACGAAGCTGAGGCTTGGCTGTCTGGGATCTAAACTGTGACCTGATCAAGTACAGACATTCTGATTTTATCTATTTATACTTTGGGACTTTGAGTATGTTTTTTTTTTTTTTTTTTAAATAAGAGACTTTTCTGATAGCTGGGGTGGGGGCAGGCTGCGAGGATAGAAAGGTAATGGTTAATACAAAATTCAGGACAGTAGTTACCGGCAGTGGGGAGTGAGGGATGTGACTGGGGAAAGGCACGCAGAGGGTCTCAAAGGTGTTGGCAATATCTTTTTTCTTAAACTGGGAGGGAGGCATCAGCATTTCATTTTGTTACTTTTTAATTATATTCATATATAATATATATCATACTCATGAAGATTGTAAATCTTCCTCTTCATTGAGGTCTACTTTAATGTCTTTCAATATAGTTTTATAATTTTACCATAAAGGTTTTTTGTTAGATTTACCATACTCCTAATATCTTGTAGTTTTTGTGGCTAGTACAGATTTTTTAAACTACAATTTATAATTGCTTATTGCTGGTATATAGTAATGCAGTTGAATTTTACTTATTGCTCTTGCATTCAGCAACCTTAAACTCTTTGTTTCTAACAGATTGTAGATTCTATTAGATGTTGTATGTAGACAAGCATATCATCTGAAAGTGACAACCTTGCTTTTTCTTTTCCAAGTCTTATACTTTTTATTATTTCTTTTTCTTGTTTTACCTAACTGGTTGGGAACTCTGATAGAGATGTTGAACTGCAGCTATGACAGTGGATATTTTCTTCTTATTTTGATCATAGCTTCCATTGGATCACCATGACGTACAAAATTTGCTGCAGACAGGGAGGGCTTCAGGGGCAAGCAGTCCGTTCAGGTGCATAAGGCCCAGTGCTCATAAGGCCCCGGTTCTACTGCTGCCTTTGTAGGGACCTGAAATTGGCCCCCCAAGATATGTCTCTTTGGCATCAGGATTATTTGAGGCTGATTGCTTTTGATAAACTGGGACAGGGAAGGAGGCTCTGAGGAATGGAACTCGCCCTTTGTTAGGAGACATTTACATTTGTAAGGTAAATCTGTCTGTAAAAGGTGCCTCCCTCTCTGTACCTGGAAGAAGAAGGGAGATGACCTTCTCTCTAGAAACTCTTAATGAATGCCAAAGACAAGGACTTAAATCTGCATTTTATTGTGCTTGCCTGGTAACCTCCTGTAACTGACTTCCCTCCCCCTCCCAACTTTGACATTTCTTTAAGGATTAAGCATCTTTCCTTAGGCTAGGAACTGACTGCTGCACTCACCTGTGACCACCCAGCTCAAGACAATAGACTTGCCTCCAGCTACGCCCTCTGAGATAGCCCTCTGAGATAGCCGACCACTACCTGCTGTGTCCATCAAGCACTGTGCCGACAGGGCAATCTTGTGACTATTGTGGGAGGGACATTTCAATCACATGTGAAACACCCTGTTTGGGGGTATATAACCACTATGTGCACCCCACTTCTTCGGTGCCCTTTCTTCCTTCGGGAAGAAAGGCCCCGGGCCATGGTTCTCATAAAGCTTTGTTTAATTTTCTCTTGCTATTCTGTCTCATGTGAATTTAATTCATTCTCCAGCTAGACGAACCCCCATTTGGGAAGAGGAAATGTCTTCCTCTCCTACACCTTCATGAAATTCTTAATAATTTTTGCACAAAGGCTTTGCATTTTCATTTTGCACTGGGCCTTGAAGGGTTTCTGGTAGAAACTCTTTTGATTAAGCTAGTTCCATTCTGTTCCTAGTTTGCTGTGATTTTTTTTCTTACAGGATGGGTGGGTATTGAGAAGATAATAAATATTCTGTTTTAATCTATTAATGTGGAAAGTTACATTCATTGATTTTCTATGATAAATCATCCCTGCATTCATAGCCTAAACTCAATTGGGCAATGATGTATTTTTGAATATACTTTATTTTTTAGAAAAGTTGTAAATTTACAGAAAAATTGTAAAGATAGTGCAGAGTTCCCATATACCCCACATCCAGTTGCCCTTATCATTAACATGTTATTGTTAGTATGGTACATGTGCTGTAATTAAGGAATCAATAGCCCATAGTTTATTCAGATATCCTTAGTTTTTATCTAATATCTTTTTTCTGTTCAAGGAGCCTATCCAGGATACTACATTATCTTTAGTTGTCATGTCTCCTTGGGTTCCTCTAAGTAGGTTGTGAGTTTCTTAGATTTTCCTTGTTTTGATGACCTTGACAGTTTGGAGGCATAGTGATCAGATTGGTTTGTAGAATGACCCTCTATTGGGATTTGTCTGATGTTTCTCTCATGATTAGACAGGGGTAATGTGTTTTTGAGAGGAAGATCACATAGGTATACTGCCGTTGTCATCACCTCACTTCAAGGGTACGTACCATCAACATGATTTATCACTACTGATATGATGGTCGTGATCACCTCCAGAGAGGGGAGACAGGTTGGAAGTTGAGTCAATCACCAATGACCAATGACTCAATCAATGATACCTAACTAATGAAGCCTCCATAAAAACTCAAAAAGCATTGGGTTCAGAGAGCTGAAGGGTTGGTAAACATGTGGAGATGTGGGGAGTGTGCTGCACCAGAGAGAGCATGGAAGCTCTGCACCGCTTTCTGCATATCTTGCCCTGTGCATCTCTTCCATCTGGCTGTTCCTGAGTTATATCCTTTTATAATAAACTCGTAATCTAGTAAGTAAACTGCTTTCCTGAGTTCTGTGAGCTGTTCTGGCAAATTAATCAAATCTGAGGAGGGGGTTGTGGGAAGCTCTGATTTATAGTCAGTTGGTCAGAAGCACAGGTGACAACCTGGACTTGCAATTGCAACAAAAAAATTATGAGACATACAAATAAACAGGAAAGTATGACCCATACACTGGGAAAAAAGCAGACAACAGAAACTACCTGTGAAAGTAACCAGATGTTGAATTTGACAAAGCTTAAAAAGTAGACATTATAAGTATGTTCAAGAAACTAAAGTAACAATGATTAAAGAAGTAAAGGAAGGGGGCCGGCCTGGTGGTGCAGTGGTAAGTTTGCATGTTCCACTTTTTGGTGGCCCGGGGTTTGCTGGTTCAGATCCTGGGTGTGGACATGGCACCACTTGGCAAAAGCCATGCTGTGGTAGGTGTCTCACGTATAAAGTGGAGGAAGATGGGCATGGATGTTAGCTCAGGGCCAGTCTTCCTCAGGAAAAAGAGGAGGATTGGCAGTAGTTAGCTCAAGGCTAATCTTCCTAAAAAAAAAAAAAAACCAGAAGTAAAGGAAGATATGAGGACAATGGTACCTCAAATGGAGAATATCAATAAAGACATAGAAATTATTTAAAAAGAAACTTGGAAATGCTGGAGTTGGAAAGTACAATAACTGAAATGAAAAATTCACTGGAGAGGCTCAACAGTAGATATAAACTAGCAGAAGAAAGAACTAGCAAACTTGAAGCTTGATTGATAGAGATTATGTAATCCAAAGAACAGAGAGGAAAACAGTGAAGAAAAATTAACAGAGCCTTAGAGTAATATGGGACAACGCTAAACACATCAACATACGTGTAATGGGAGTACCAGAAGGAGGGAAGAGAGAAAGGAGCAGGAAAAATATTTGGAGAAATAATAGCTGAAAACTTCCTAAATTATAGAAAAACGATCATCAACACATCCAGGAAGCCCATTGGACTCCAAGTGGAATACATTCAAAGAGATCCACAAATAGACACATCACAGTAAAACTGCTGAACGCCAAAGACAAGCAGGGAATCTTGAAAGCAGTAAGAGAAAAACAATTTGTCACTTACAAGGGAATGCAAATAAAATTAATAGCTGACTTTGCAGCAGAAATGATGGAGGCCAGAAGGCAGTGGGATGACATATTCAAAATGCTCAAAGAAAAAAACTGCCAACCAGAATCCTATATCCAGCTAAGCCATCTTTCAAAAATGATAACAAATTCCCAGATAAACAAAAACAGAGAATTTGTTGCTAGCAAACCTGCCTTATGAGAAATACTAAAGGAAGTTTATCAGGCTGAAAGTAAGTAACCTTAGATGGTAATTTGAGTCCACACAAAAAAACAAAGAGAACCAGTGAATATGTAATTACCAGAGGATTATGTAATTAAAAAAGAAAGAATAAATGCATATTTGTTATCCTTTTTTCTCTTAACTGATTTAAAAAGCAATTGTATAATACAATTTGTATCTAATGTATTGTTGGGCCTATCAGGTAGAAATGTAATATGTTTGTCAATAACAGCACATAGAGTTTGTGTGGGTGCAAAGCTGTATTGGGTTAAAGAAATGTCTCCAGATGATAACTCAAATCTGCAAAAATAAATATGGAGAACTAGAAATGATAAATAAGAAAAGAAATATAACAAAAGTGATAAATATATACTTTCTTTCTTCTCTCATCTCCTTTAAAAAGACATAAAATTGTATAAAGTAGTAATTATAACACTATATTTTTGGGTTTGTAACATTTAAAGATGTAATCTATCTGACAATAATACTACAAAAAGTGGCAAGGAAATATAACTATATAGGAGTAACATTTCTATATCTCATAGAAATTGTTAGTATAAATTTGAAGTTGATTCTGATAAGTTAAGGTGTATGTGGTTAGCCCTAGACCAATAACTGAGGAAATTATTTTAAAAAATTATTAAAGAAGTTAAAATGCTACATTATAAAATATTCATTTAATGCAAAAGAAAGCAGTAAAGGAGGAATAGAGGAACATAAAAGATATGAAACATATAGAAAACAACAAGTAAAATGGCACATATATCAAGTATATCAATGGTAACATTAAATGTGGATGGAGTAAACAATTCAATCAAAAGACAGAGATTGTCAGACTTGATTAAAAAAAGTTAACAAGATCCACTAAATGCTGTCTACAGGAGGCATGCTAGATTCAAAGATACAAATATATTGAAAGTAAAAGGATGGAAAGAGATTTATCATGCAAACAGCAAACTCAAGAAAGCTGGAATGACTATACTAATAGGAGACAAAATATGCATTAAAACAAAAAATTTTACCAAAGGTAAGAGGGACATTTTATAATTTTTAAAAGGCCAATCCATTAGGAAGATAAAATAGTTTTAAATATGTATGCACCTAATAAGAAAGCACCAAAATACATGAAGCAAAAACTAACAGAAATGCATGGGGAAATAGACAATTCAACCATAACAGTTAGAGATTTCAGTACCCCACTTTCAATAATGGACAGAACAAGTAGACAGACAACCAACAATATAAGAACTGAAAATACTATACACCAACCGGACCTAAGGGACATCCATAGAATACTCACCTCAATAACAGCAGAATATACATTCTTCTCAAGTGCATCCTCCAGGATAGGCATATGCTAGGCCATAAAACAAACCTCGATAAATTTAACAGGATAGAAGTAATACAAAGTATGTCTTCTGACCACAATGAAATGAAATTAGAAATCAACAACAGAAAGAAATTTGAGAAACTCACAAATAGGTAGAAATTAAATAACACACTCCTACCTAACCAATGTGTCAAAAAAGTAATCAAAAGAAAAATTAGGAAATACTTTTAGATGAATGAGAATGAAGATACAAAATATCAAAACTCATGTGATGCAGCTAAAGTAGTGCTTCGAGGAAAATTTATAGGTGCAAATGTGTACATTACAAAAGAAGAAAGATCTCAAAACAATAAACTAAACCTTTCACCTTAAGACACTTGAAAAAGAAGAGCAAACTAAACCTGAAGCAAGGAAGGCAACAAAAAAGATTGGAGCAGGACTTAATGAAATAGAGAATAGAAAATAGTAGAGCAAACAATGAAACCAAAAGCTAGTTCTTTGAAAACATCAACAAAATTGACAAACTTTTTTTTTTTAATATAGATTGGCACCTGAGCTAACATCTGTTGCCAACCTTCTTTTTCCTCTCTTTTTTTCCTTTCTCCCCCAACCCCCCCGGATACATACTTGTATATTCTAGTCGTAGGTCCTTCTAGTTGTGCCATGTGGGATGCTGCTTCAGCATGGCCTGATGAGCAGTGCTAGGTCTGTGCCAGGATCCAAACTGGTGAAACCCTGGGCTGCTGAAATAGAGTGCATGAACTTAACCATTCAGCCGTGGGGCTGGCCCCCAAATTGACAAACTTTAAGCTAGACTGACCAAGAAAAAAGAAGACTCAAATATCTAGAATCAGAAATGAGAGAAATGACATTACTACCTACCTTACAGAAATAACAAGAATTTTAAAGGAATTCTATAAACAACTGTATTTCAATAAATTAGCTAACTTAGGCAAAATAGACAAATTCCTAAAGACTCAAGCTATCAAAAACGACTCAAAAAAAAACCAGTCTTAATAGAACTATAACAAATGAAGAGTGTTTTTTTTTTTAAACATTGGCACCTGAGGTAACATCTGTTACTAATCTTCATTTTTTTTTTCTTATTCTTCTTTTCCCCAAAGTCCCCTAGTACATAGTTGTATATTCTAGTTGTTGAGTGTCTCTGGTTTCTATGTAGGATGCTGCCTCAGCATGGCTTGATGAGCGGTGCCATGTCTGAGCCCAGGATCCAAACTGGTGAAACCCTGGGCCGACAAAGTGGAGTGTGCGAATTTAATCACCTGGCCACGGGGCCGGCCCCAAGTAAAGAGATTTAATTAGTAACACTAACAATAAAAAAAAACTACCCACAAAGAAAAGCCCAGGCTCACCTGGCTTCACCCCTGGATTTTACCAAACATTTAAAGAAGAATTAATACCAATTCTTCACTAACTCTTCCAAAAAATAGAAGAGAAGTGTACACGTCCCAACTCATTCTATGAGGCCAGTATTACTCTGATATCAAAACCAGACAAAGACCTCACAAGAAAAGAAAACTACAGACCAATATCTTTATGAATATGGATGCAAAAATCCTCAACGAAATACTAGCAAACCAAATCCAGCAACATATAAAAGATCATGCCAAAAGACGCAGAAAAAGTATTTGTCAAATCCAACACTTTTTTTCTTTTTCTTTTTTTTTTTGCTGAGGAAGATTCCCCCTGAGCTAACATCTGTGCCAATCTTCCTCTACTTTTTAGTATATGGGCCAGCAGCACAATATGGCTGCTAACAGAGCAACGAAGGTCCACATCTGGGAACTGGGCCTGGGCCACTGAAGTGGAGCAAGCTGAACTTAACCACTAGGCCACTGGGGCTGGCCCTCAAATCCAACACTCTTGCATGATAAAAGCGCTCAACAAACTAGGAACAGAAGGGAACTTCCTCATCCTGACAAATGGTGTATCTGAAAAACCCACCATTAACATCATACTGAAAAAAAGTATCCATGCTTTCATGGCAAGAACAGGAACAAGACAAGATGTCTGCTGTCACTACTTCTATTCTTCATTGTTCTGGGGGTTCCAGCCAGGGCAATGAGGCAAGAAAAATAAATAAAAAATATCTAGATTGGAAAGAAAGAAGTAAAACCATCTCTGTTCACACATGACATGATCTAATATATAGGAAATTCTAAAAAAAATCTGCAAAGAACTATTCAAACTAGTAAACAAGTTCGGTAAGTTTGCAGGATAAAAGATCAGTATACAAAAATCAATTGTATTTCTATACGCTTGCAATGAACAATCTGAAAATAAAATTAAGAAAATGACTTACAACAAAAAAATGAACAATCTAATCAAAAAATGTTCAGAGGATATGAACAGACATTTTTCCAAAGAAGATATACAGATGGCCAATAGACACATGAAAAGATATCCAACATCACTAGTTATTAGGGAAATGCAAATCAAAACTACAATGAGATATCACCTCACATCCATCAGAATAGCTGTAATTTATAAGACAAGAAATAACAAGTGTTGGAGAGGATGTGGAGAAAAGGGAACCCTCATACACTGCTGGTGGGAGTGCAAACTTGTGCAGCCACTATGAAAAACAGTATGGAGATTTCTCAAAAAATTGAAAATAGAAATACCATATGATCCAGCTATTCCACTACTGGGTATTTATCCAAAGAACATGAAATCAATAATTCAAAAAGATACATGCACCCCTATGTTCGTCACAGCATTATTCACAAAAGCCAAGATATGGAAGCAACCCAACTGCCCATCAATAGGTGAATGCATAAAGAAGATGAGGTATATATATACAAAGAAATACCACTCAGCCATAAAAAAGACAAAATCGTGCCATCTGTGACAACATGGATGACCATTAAGGGTATTATGCTAAGCAAAATAAGTCCGACAGAGGAAGACAAATACCATATGACTTCACTCATATGCGGAAGATAAACAAACAAATACGTAGATACGGAGAACAGATTGGTGGTCACCAGAGGGGAAGGGAGTGGGGAGAGGGCAAAAGGGGTAAAGGGGCATTTATGTACGGTGACAGATAAAAACTAGATTATTGGTGGTGAACACAATGCAGTCTACACAGAAAGTGAAATATAATAACATACACCTGAAATTTACACATTGTTATAAGCCAATACGACCTCAATAAAATATTTTTTTTTTTTAAAAAAAGAAAATGATTCCACTTACAATAGCATGAAAAAGAATGAAACATTTTGGAAAAAATTTAACTAAAAAAGTGCAAAACATACTCAGAAAACTATAAAACATTACTGAAAAAATTAAAGATGTAAATAAATGGAAAAACATCCCATGTGTATGATTGGAAGACTTATTATTGTTAAGATGGCAACACTTCCCAAATTGATCTACAGTTTCAACACAACCAGAATCTTAGCTGACTTCTTTGTAGAAATTGATAAGCTGATTCTAAGATTCACATGGAATTGCAAGAGACCCACAATAGCCAAAACAATCTAGAAAAAGAACGAAGTACAACTCATTTCTTGACTTCAAAACTTACTACAAAGCAATGGTAATCAAGCTAGTGTGGTACTGGCATAAAGGCAGACATACAGATCAATGGAACAGAACTGAGTCTAGAAATAAAGCCATGTGTCTATGGTCAACAGATTTCCAACAAGAGAGCTGAGACCATTCAGTGGGGAAAGAATAGTCTTTTCAACAAATGGTGCTGGGACAACAGGATGCCCACATTTAAAAGAATGAAGTTGGACGTTTACCTCACACAATATGCAAAAAGCAACTCAAAATGGACCAAAGATCTAAAGGTAAGAGCTAAAATTATATAAGTCTTAGAAGAAAACACACAGGCAAATCTTCCTGATTTTGTATTTGGCAATGGATTCTTAGATATGACATCAAAAGCATGAGCAACAAAAGAAAAAATAAATTGGACTTCATCAAAATCAAAAACATTTGTGCTTCAACGACACTATCAAGAATGTGAAAGACAACCCACAGAATGTGAGATAATATTTGCAAATCATATATCTGATAAGGGACCTGTATCTGAAATATATAAAGAACTCTCACAACTCTATAGAAGACAAATAACCCAACTAAAAAAATGGGCCCAGGATCTAAATAGATATTTCTCTAAGGAAGAAATACAAATGGCCGATGAGCACATAAAAAGGTGCTCGATGTCATTAGTCATCAGGGAATTGCAAATCGAAACACTGAGATACCACTTCACAACCACGAGCATGACTAGAACTAAAAAGTGAGATAGTAACAAGTGTTGGTGAGTATGTGGAGAAATTGGAAGCCTCATTCATTGCTGGTGGGAATGTAGAACAGTGCAGTCACTTTTGGAAGTAGTTTGCAGTTTCTCATTCAATTAAACAGAGTTATCATAAGACTGAGCAATTCCACTCCTAAGTATATACTCAAGAGAAATGAAAACATATGTCCACACAAAAATTTGTACACAAATGTTTACAGCAGCATTACTCATAATAACCAAAAGGTAGAAACAACCCAAATGGCCATTCACTGATGAACGGATAAAGAAAATGTGGTACAACCATATAATGGAATATTATTCACCCACAAAAAGGAATGAAGTTCTGATGCATGCTACAACATGACATGGACCTTGAAAACACTATACTAAGTGAAAGAACAAGTCACAAAAGACCACATATTGTATAATTCCACTTATATGAAATGTCCAGAGTAGGCAAAGAGACAGAAAGCAGATTAGTAGTTGCTTAGGGCTGGGGTAAATGGGAATATAGGATAGTGATAACCTAAGTGTACAGGGCTTTTTGCTGTGATGAAAATGTTTTAAAACTGACTGCATGGGGCTGGCCCTGTGGCGCAGGGGTTAAGTTTGCGCATTCCGCTTTGGTGGTCTGGGGTTCATTGGTTCGGATCCTGGGTGCGGACATGGCACCACTTGGCAAGCCATGCTGTGGTAGGCGTCCCACATATAAAGTAGAGGAAGATGGGCACGGATGTTAGCTCTGGGCCAATCTTCCTAAGCAAAAAAACGAGGAGGATTGGCAGCAGATGTTAGCTCAGGGCTAATCTTCCTTCAAAAACAAAACAAAACAGGCTGACTGCAGTGATGGTTGCACATATCTCTGAATACACTGAAAACTATTGAGTTGTATGCTTTAAATGGGTGAATTGCAAGGGCTGTAGATTATATCTCAATAAAGCTATTTTTAAAAAATAAAAAAAGGAAATCAACACAGTGACATGGAACTAGATAACCCACCTTGCTCTCTAGAACTCCTGGACCCTGAGGGTTGCATCCTCGGAGGCCTTTCCATGCCCTCTGGGATGTGAATATTTTCACTATGATTCTTCTTTCACGTGTGAGAAAACATATTCAGAGAAGCAAATTTCATGCATTCATCCAACAAACAATACTGGAGGCTAAGGAGGTAGCCGTGTCGAAGGGCCCACAGCGGAGAAGAGATGGAATGAGGGTTGGTTCCTATCT